TTTATACATATTCGTCTATATTTTAGTTTACATATACATATGCTTATATTAATTTAAGCTTCAATAGCAACAAAATATTCACTAGAATCCCATCTTACTACTTACTTAATTATTGAAAAGATATTTTTATTATATGAAGCAGAAAGTGTCTCAGTTCTTCTATAAATTTTGGTGCGTATATTACGTTTTAAACCGATTTAATAACTCTTTTTGTACTTGATATAGTTAATTTCCATTAACGATAATAATACTTTTGACCACAACAGAATATCAGTGTTTTGCTCTTTTTAGGGTAAAACAATAAACTGAGTTGCAATCATTTTATGTTACTATGGCACATACATGAATGAAAAATTCTTACTTCTTTTATGTATTTTGCTTTTATTTTTATATGTATTCTTTTACCTCTTTTTACTGTGTATGCCTATCTATGTTTGTTGTTATTTGTGTGCTGTAAGTAATTCAAATAAATTATATATCTATCTATCTATCGAATTGAATTTAAATCCAATCAGCCATTTAATACTGAGTAAGAAATACCCAAACACCTTTACAAACATTCATATTTATAATTTTAGTAGGTTAAAAAAACTTACGATTTCCTTGAAGAAATTCTCCGGTGCCGCCGAAGTCGTGGTGAAGAACATGGCGCAGGCGAAGAAGACGAAGAAAATCTTGGAGAATTTCATTGTAATATTGTTTATGATACAATATGTTCACTGTACAATTGTTAAGCTACTACTATTTACGATCCAAGGAACTGTTTGCATTTATATCGATTGAAAGTAACGAACAGGTTTCGTTGAAATAAATAATCGTTATACCATTTACGATTCTATGAGTAATGATATAAAGATCAATATTTGATTTAATAAAGCTACTGAGTCATGAAATTGATAAGGTGTAATGTATGCAACAAAAAATACTCCGGTACATCCCAGCGTCCAAGTAACGAAGATAGCTTGTAGTCGGACTAGTGTCAGACAAAGAGTTGTTGCTAACTGCAAGAATTATGACTAAACATGTTAATTCTAATTAATCGTAATCCTTAAACCGTAGTGGTGAAGCAATTTAATATTTCAACTTCTAATTTTTAAATATACATTTTTAAATATAAATATTATAGTAAGAAAATAATTATCATTTTATATTCCTTGTGTTATATTATATAGTAATATATAATATAATTAACTGTAAAAAAGTTTTTACAAAAGTCGATTGCTTGGGTACCTTTGTCCCATTCGTGTTACAACCGTGAAGCAGTTGTGTTTGCATGGCTGTGTTTCGGTTTAGCGCAGCTCTTAAATGGGATAGATAGATAGATGGTTTATTCACATAAGATGATGGTATATATTAGCACAATACTAGTGTGGGATAAAACTACGAGAACGTATTCATATTAATTGGAACAATGCGAATTTAAATGTTCATGATGGTATCCGGTTGAACCACCTAGAGGTCAACTTGATAGGGTCATGACAATCAATCTTTTCTCTGTTTATGAATACTATATGAATCCGTGTAATCAATACTTGTTGCTCGATAATTTAATTTTTTGATAATTTGTAGTCAACAAAAAAGCCTTCGACTGTGGCAAAATCAGTTATTTCGATTTGTAAACTAAACTACTGAAGCGATTTTAATAAAAAAATCTACGTGACTAATCTGTAACTATACCCTTTCAGATAAAAAAAAAACATATTGCCAATCGGTTTATAACTGATGGAGTTAAAAAAATACAAACGAATTAAGAACCCACTTCTTTTTGAAGTCAGTTTAAAATCTGAAAACAACATGGCAATGTAATTTTAAGTACGGAACATTGTTGTGTCCTTCTTTTCTAATCTTAGTCTTTAGTTAGAAATGTATAGATAGTAAACAAAAAAAAAAATATGCAACCAGTATCTATCAAAATATATTTCTTTTGTGTATTTTTAATTTTAAATTAAAAAACAAAAAAGAAACAAAAAAAAAATTAAAACAGAAGGGAAAAAATGTTAGAAGACTCGATACGATACGACGAAATTAGGAATAATATAATAGAAGGTAAGGTAGAAGAAAGAAGGGGAAGAGGGAGACCAAGGCATAGTTACATCAGACAGATCAAGGAAGGAGTTGGTGCCGTGTCGTATCAAGATGTGAAGAGACTCGCTAAAAATCGTAGTGAGCGGTAAGAGCTCTTACAGACAAGAGCGCAGCTCTTAAATGGATAGATAATCCTATGTAATATAATAATAATTTACCTTAATCAATATGAAAACTGCACTTTTTCGAATATTAGAAATAAATAAATCAATGAAATCACCAAAGAAACAACTTATACAAATTAAATTAATTTTCACTGCTACATAAAATAAGTCGCGGATACTGCTAGTTGATTATAGCAATTTAAAGGAATCATACTCGTAATGAAGAAGTTAGAGAGAGTTTGCTAACTCTCAAAGAGTCGTTATAAACTAATGACGGAGGTACAAACTTCGCCTCAAAATCATGTTCCAGCTGTTAATAATAATTTAGTCCCTAGAGTTATTTTCGACCGACTCAAAATATTATGAATTATATACTATGTTAATATAGTTTGTGTATAATTATATAGATAGAACATCGAGTCTCAAAAACGGGTCAACCTTTTGTTTTTTAACAATTTGACAATTAGCTGACTCGTTTTATTAACGGTGTTCTATAAACCAATACATAAAATGTATCTCGGCATATTATTCAATAACTAAAATGAGTATTTACGTAATAAAAAGAAGCAGAATTTACAAGAAAATAAATATAGAAGTAATAAAGGAATTACTTATAACTATTTGTCACGCAAAAATGTATGAAAAAGATGAACCTTTTTTTCGAAGCATTTGTATGGCGATACTCTATATAATCTAATATGTATACAGACAATCAGGGCTGCTACTAGTTATTTTTGATTGATACCCAAATGTCATACATTTCATACATTTTTATTTAAATCTATTACTCACTCATTAACTTGTACCTTCATCTACAATCCGGCATAGAATGTGTCACCCCTTCCTTTCCAGTAGGTGTCCTAAGAGGCAACTAAGGGAACTTAATAGTCGAGGAATGGGTATTTTATTTTCTAAAGCAATAGAGATCTTCCACCTGTTGCTAGCATCTTGTGATTAAACCTGTTATACTCGTATCATACATCAGTTTAAAATTTTGATATTTCCTTATATTTAAGCTTCTAAGTTTCACATAAAAAATGCCCAGCTAAATAGAATGACAAATTATAATATGAAACTAAGTAAAAAACATTTTAAATACAAACGTAATTTATATCCATAATTTTTTAGTAATATTTTTTTGTAGTATTATTATTTTTTTTTTGTATTATTATTTATATCTATTAATATTAGAAAAAGGAAAGGTTATGATTTTTTGTATGTTTATCTGTTTGTTTATTGGCTAAACTCAAAAACTACTCAAACAATTTTAAAAGTTCTCTCACCTGTATAAAGTTACATTTACAACGAATATGCTAGGCTATATATCTTATTATAATGTAATAACTATCTTATAACTAATAAAATAAATTTAAGTGTATTCTAGTCTCGAGACTAAGGGTCCTGGATGATTCTGAAACTAGTCGAGTTATCTCGACTAAAATGTACTCTAAATTTCAAAGAATTAGAGATTCCTACGATAGTTACAATAATGTAATCCAAGGTATCATAATTTTTTTATTTAAGCTAATATAAATTATTAATACAATATAAGCGCTGGTACTAGTACCCGTTTTGTGGACTGCCATCTATCAGCGGGGCGGGTATTTGTACCCATTTGGAAAGTACTTACGTTAAAGTGGGGTACAGTACTACTCGTTGGTTGACTTATGAAATATAAGTAGATGTTTGTTTTAAAATTCTCGTAGTTCGAGGCGCTATAAATTTTCAACGCGAATTTACGAGTTCCCCTCGCAAATTTCGCCCGCTACGCAATATCGTCAGGGCTATTAGACAGCCCGCTTAAAATGTGTTAATTTCACTATCTATCTACCCGTGCGGAGCCGGGTCGGATCGCTAGTTTTATTACAATATCACTGAGTATCACATGCATTATTCGTATTGGCAAATTATTTGATTTATCTCTATTATTTCCTTATCATCAAAGCGAACTCTGTGAAGGATTATCGGTAAAAGCTAAGCACTCGAGTTCTCAATATATTTGAATTTATATCAATTGTTTTGCTACCGTGACGTGTGCAGTAGTTTTGTTTTTATTCTGATTATATACAGAGGTTTGTTTGACTGCGTTTCAAGTTTCACTGCAGTGTAAGCAATAATGAGCTGATCTAACGTCTTTGGTATGCCTCGAATTTAGATTAGAGTTTCGAATAATTACGTTACTATTCGGGATACAAATCTCTATCCAGATGTGTTCATTTTAGAACTGGCAAGAAAAAAAAATATATTTTAGCTTATTTTTGTCAGTAGAAAAATAGAGGCGTACAAACGTAACTAAATTAATATGATTAATCTTATTATTGTACTACATTTTAATTTAATAACTCTGAATCAATGTGTATTTTAGTCGACAAAGCTCGATTAGTTTCGGAACCACTCGGGATTCATAACCATAAGCGGCTATAACGTGAGTGCGAATCTCATTTAAAAATGAATTGAACACTCCAATAGTATACAAGATACTTTATAATTTGAATTAAGAACTAAGAATTAGTTATTTAAAAATAGCATTTACTCTGCTACAGCCAGTATTTTTTAATATCACAATATTAATACGGAAACAGTAGTAGTTAGAGAGATTAAACTGTGTCGATAGAATTAAATAATCATAAAATTTTAATCGTATATAATAGTTAAACAATAAATATAGATGAATAAATAGTCTCCTCTTTTGGAAGATATTTAAATATATTGCCTCTGTCATTGCTTTAGAACGTAACGCCCAATTTCCTCTCGCCTACAACTACCACTTGTTTTATGGTTATTGCATTCCGACTGAGCATTAGATTTTATTCTACCCGTATACCTTATCTATAGCATTATGCGACGAAATAATTCCCTATTGCTATTACTCTGTGAGTATTTTTATTTTATTATTATACTGTAGGAGAATTTCTACGTCGTCTAATTTTTAAGCGGTTTACAAAAGAAAGCGATTTTAAATTTTTTGTAGCTAAGTTGAACTACTTTTACTACACGTAAAGTATTTTTTTATATTACTCTATCAATTCTAAATCGATTTTAGTATTTTATTTTAAAATTTTAGTGTCATATTAATTTATTACGATTGAAATCGCCGTTTTTTTCGTAAAGCAGAAAATTGCCTGAAATTGCAAAACACAATTATAAAAATGTTACTCCTCGTTCTAAATTCAAATATTTTATTTCTTCGAACTATTTAACTACACAATTTGTCCTTTCTCAGTGTGTTTTTCTACGATTTGAACAACTTTTTTGCTCAGAAAAATTTATTTACTGCGTACGTATGTATTTCTCATGCACCGCTGCGTTATCTTTATGCCGTTTCCATACTTTAGTTAAAAGTGGTTCGAGTTGTCTCGTTTGATATTTATCAAATTCTATACTAATCTTGTATGACTTCTGTACAACAGTGTTTGATTATTATATCAGTGCCTTAGATTATACAGATAGAGTGTCTCCATACAAATGCTTCAAGAAAAACGGATCAACTTTTTCATAAAATTTTGCGTGATAAATAGTTACGAGTGATTCTTTTATAACTTCTATATTTATTTCGTCTTATAAATTCTGCACTTTTTAATGCGTAAACACTCATTATATTTATTAAATAATACATCAAGATACTTTTTTTGTGTAAGTATATAAAACACTGACAAAAAAACGAGTCAGCTAATTTGACAATTAGCTGATAAAAAGTTGCCCCTTTTTGGATAATAATATAATTTATTTGCTGAAAAACACGGTATACAGATGGTAATATGTTAGGAACAGGCGTGTTTTGCCAAAACAATGGCATGCAAAATTTTAATATTTATTGTTAACTTCTTTTCAAATACTATTAACAAAATATTATTTATGTGCTTATAAAGTGGAATTACTGGGGGGAAAAGGATTGTTAGCAGTGGAGTTTGATATTGCCAGCAATATGCCCTATCAGGTCGACCTCCACGTGGTTCCCCCTGGAAACCACCGTGAACAATTCTTGTTGAATTCGTCACGATGGGCTAACTGGCCTGCTTCATCCTCATCTATCATCACTCACTGGTGCCCCGCCGGTATATACCGATAGCACGGGTGGGGTTACCATTCCATTATCATCCATTAAAAAAAAGTGGATTTATTTTCTAGTCCAACAAGTCCTTAAATTGAGTAATAACATATGTCCAAAAGACATTTGTGCATTACAATTGCCATTTGGAGACTCGGTGCTCTATCTTTATAATCTAAGATAGAGACATCGTTATCATATCGGCCGGTAACTCTCTGCTGTTGAACATAAACCTCCTTCTTGGAGGGGTTTACCAGTACTTACTAACTACACTTGGCAGACGGGTTGGCTGGGCTTTATATATGTTTTAAGAGGGACGCTGCTGCCCCTTCCTCGACCATTAAGTTTTAGTCGCTTCTTAAGACATTCACTGGAAAAGAAGGGTTTTTATTGATGGGTGAAAATGGTATGGTAACCCCGCTTGCACTAACGGGATGCGCTGGCGGAGCACCGGTGAAGGGTGATAGATGAGAATGAAAACAGGCCAGTTAGCCCATCATGATGAATTCATCAGGAATTAACCATGATAGTTTCTAAGGGGAACCGCGAGGAGGTCGACCTGGTTGGGTATATTGCTAGCAATGGGATTCTCAGTCTCCATCACTAACAATCCTTTTCCCTCCGGAAAGGAAGGGTTGGCCCATTCTATGCTAGAGCTACATGGCAATTGTTGGTACAGCACTCGTGCTCTGTAGCTGTCTGCTAACGACATTCTTTTCTACTGTATTGAGTTGGCTGGAAGAGATCTCTTATTCCAAAAAGTTTAAAAATTTACAAGTGCAATAAAGGCTATAGATATAGGTATAGATAGAGTGTCTCTATACAAATGTTTCGCCAATACATTTGTACGGGGATATCTTATTATCCTTGTGTGCGTGAATAGAGTTATTATTATTATTGAGAAATGGGCTATGTTTGGGCATGGTGATTAGAGCAGTGGTTAACAACCAGTGGTCCGCAGAAGCTAAAATATGGTCCGTGAATGATTTTAAATTTAACGGGCGGTTAGCCGTTGGTTGCGGTCCAATGAGTTATTTCTTCTAATGTAATTTTCTATTGAGTTTTTAATCACAGTTTCAATTTGATTACTACAGTGTATTTTTATTATATCTACATATTGGTCCCTGCTAACGAGAATAATATAAAAATGGTTCCTAACCAAGAAAAGGTTGGGAACCCCTGCTTTAGAGACTACGATATGGGGTTTTTCAAAAAGAATATATTAAGTATTTTTTCAGGTTCGGTGGCGAACATGTGACACGTGACTGTGTACTATCAGTCGGGCTGTATGCTTGTTTGCCACCTTTGTGGTATAAAAACAATAAAGGTGCTGTTCATTTCTATAGCCGACAGCTACTTACCAATTTATATTATGTGGGCTGTTAAAATAAATTAGTAATCGAGATGTATTGATCAGCTATTGGCATAGAGTGGAAAAGAAAAACAGGGAAAATAAACAAAATAATTATTACAGTGTTTATAACGATAACAATGGGTTCCGACTACGTAAACAAATCGCACACGAAGCCATGGAAAGTAAGATTCTACCCTAAAAAGTCAGTGTTCAGGAAAGCCGACCTCATCGACAAAGGGTGTACTGTGTTTATCAAGGATTGCCCCCAGTCGTACAAGTAAGATCTGTTCTATTATTTGCCTTTGTATGAATATTTTTATTTTGTTGTATTTCCAAATCCAAATACATTTTTAAAAAGTTATTAAAGTAGCATTTATTAAATAAGCAAAAACTTGGATTGGTCGCCTGGTAGCGTTTTAATAATAATTGTTGTGGTGAATTATTATTTATACTGTATGTTTAATTTATTAATGAAATATATTATTTATGCATCATTTATATAAGTATGTATCTATATAATACAATTTTACCTTTGGCTGTTAAATTGGCTACACAGGTAACACTCTGGGTTTGTTATACGCGTCCGTGTAGCCTACCTTCAGGCTGTAACTGAAAATCAGTGCTTTGTTTTTAAGCAAAATTATCACTGAGCTTTAGCCTATTTGGGTCACTGCAACACACTTAATGAAAACATATTTTCATATTTCATCTTTTGTTTTATATTTAATAAAATGTAAATGTTCTGATTGTATAAACTCATTTGTTGATTTACGTATGTCATAAATGGCTCAAATAAAGTGTTTATCTATCTATCTATTTATCTTTTATTAGTTTTCAACTACGACTTCATCTCCGTGACGGGGATATGTTTACTGACCGAGTAAATTTATTGACCGGAATAAAAAGCAGCCTATATCTTTCTCCATTCTCTATAGTACTTCAACACCAAATTTCATAGTGATTCTCAAGTCGTTAAGAGGTAACGAAGAAATAAACAAACGAACTCTCTTTAATTTTTTTTATTAGTAGGAATCGACTGTCCGGCTATCAGTGGAGTGGGAAGGTCGAATTTTTCTAACGTTATTGGAAACACAATTCATTGGGGAAAATGTACAATTACACTAATAATGAAGTTAATAATTTCTATTTCATAAAAATTATAACAAAAAACGAAGTTTGCCATTTTTTATACATACAAAAGAACAAATTGGCTGGTGATTAATACATAGATGATATTTTGAACAATGGGAAATTACAAAATGTAATTTCCTGTCGTTGGAAATGTTAATTCATATATATTAAATACTTAAGTCGCCATAAAAACTTTAATCACCATATTGGTCCCGGTATAGAATAGCCCACTCCTTATCCCGTGGGCGTCGTAAGAGGCGACTAAGGAAGGGCGAGGGATGGACAGCAGCGATCCTCTTAAAATATCTCCAAAATCTAACTGCGGTTGCCAATCCGCCTGCCAAGCGTGACAACTATAAGCAAAACCCTCCAAGGGAGACGCTTATGTTCAGCAGTGGACAGTTAAAGGTTGAAATGATTGAAGATGAAATATAAATCGCGAAAATTATAAAAAAAAAAAATGATAAATTAAATCTATTTTTGAATAGTGCATTTAAATAAATACACATAAAGTTAACAGAGATTTAAAAGGGTAACTGTTGAGTTTTTTACGAACTTTTCATAATAAATAATAACTTTCCGAACCCTGCATTCATAAAAAAATTACAATTTAAAAGTGTTTGTAAACAATTCTATTTAAATAAAGATGATTTGAATTTGAATCTGAACTACGTTTTTGTATAATAAAAATTTATTTAAATCACGATCGGTTATGTAGTCGTAGATTACTCCATCACAAAAACATATTGATTATATCGTCATAGTCGTAGAATACTGACGGATCTGACAAATATTATATATATAGATCCGTCAGTATTCTACGACTATGACGATATCTACTCTCCTATATCACGGAAAAGGAAAATTTTAATAGTAAAGTTTTTCACCAGAACCCAACCGATTATAGCTATTGTTTTATATATTACTAGTTATATCTCATGACTCCGCCTGCGTGTATCAGTGCATAAAGCATCCTATGTTCTAAGTTAGGATATAATCTACTCGAGTACCAAATTTCGTTCAAATCCGTTTAGTAGTTTTTGCGTAAAGGAATAACAAATATCCATCCATTCATCCAGCATTACAAATTTTCGCTTTAATATTCATTTGAAATTTAATAATAGAGTTTTTCATTATTTTGGCATTATTACAAAGTACTAAATCAAACTATATCACTATTCATGGAATGTAGAATATATTTATATTCCTTCGGTAATGCAAAAGTTAGTAAGAACATACATCCTATTTTATAGACAGAATTTGGTCTGCGCAAGACATTACGACGGACAATTTAAAACTTTCAACAATTACTGTGAAATGGAGTTCGAGAATTGCAATAGTTGGAGACGTGAGTACACAACTTTATATCATTCAAAAACAATATACCATACATTATACAATTTTGTTCGAAACATAAATTTTATATTCGAAAATTTAAAAATAACTGGCGACGTCCGTAACTGTTAAAAAAAAAATAAGACATCAGAATTATAATTTGAAAATGGAACGTATTTTCGTAAGATTTTTTTTTGTTTTTATTTATACCACGATCTGTCTCCTTGCTGGGACAATAAATAGTATGTTGGACGTTTACTTTAATAGCGTGCTCAGTATGCGACCTATGTCGCATCCGAATTTATTTAATCGTTTCTTGGGGCATTTTGCGTTTCAGTCTGCGAGTTGTGTATTACATGTTGTTCATAAGGTCTCTTGCTAATTTGTTAGTGTGTTTTGTTATCCTCTTCTTGTAAGATTGTGTGTTGTAGTATTTGCTATCTAATAATTCTATTTTTAGATCATGATCTAGTTGCTTGTTTGTGACAAACCAAGGAGCATTGGTCATTATTATTAGCATTTTATTGTGGAACCTTTGTAAAATCTCGACATTGAAGTAAGACGCTGTTCTCCAGAGTTCGATTCTATAGGTCCAGATAGGTTTTAGTATAGTCTTGTACAAAAGGAGTTTATTACTCATTGTTGTGATTGGATGCCTAATAACCAGTAAAGCTTAAGTATTTGTAAACACAATTGTATGCGTTTGGTTATTATATGTTTTTGCCAGATAAGTCGTCTATCCAGGCACAGATATTACATAGTTGGATTGAGGGATTTCTAAGTTGTTAAGCTTCACTGGGGGGCAAACACCTTTTTTTAGTGTGAACATGACATTGACTGATTTAGATTCATTAGCTCTTATTCTCTACTTTTTTAGCCAGGATGAAATATTATCTAAATCGGTGTGCAGGATCTGCGTCGCATTTGTTGGATCTTCGTGGGATACTTATATAGCTGTATCATTTGTAAATGTTCCAGTGGTGATATTTTTTGAAGTATGTAGGTCAGACGTGTAGATTAGATAAAGTATTGGCCCTAGTACGCTACCTTGTGGGACACCTGCATTAAAATTTATTAAATATTGTAGTTTATAAATTTTGTAACATATATGATTTTCTTATGAAAATAGTAGTTTTCTTTATTCAGATCCATTATGATGTACAATTTTTTTTATACCACTGCAGTGGCAAACAAGCATACGGCCCATCTGATGGTAAGTGGTTACCGTTGCCATTTTGAACATCGATTTAACAATGCATTAATATCAAACATCATAAATTAATATTAAATGGACGCCCATATAGTATTAATTTTGTTAGATCATTCTCTAGCTTTATACATTTTCCTGTAAACATTAAAATATTAATTTATTATTTAAATTTCTTGCAAGTTCAACACCTCTCCACAAGATGGCGTTAAATGTATTTTTACACATATGACGAACCGTTACAAGATGTACTATAAGCTTGTTTGCTACATTCGTGGTATAAAAAAGAGATACTAGATGTTTCTTTATTTTGTAAATAATTTTAATTACCTAATCAACGTTTTTTTTTAGAATGGAGTATGATCAAGCGAGATCGATGCTGAAGTTTGGTATCACTATCTTATTTCTTACAATTTTAGTTATTATGACAAATATATGGTTATATTTTTATTAATACATTTTACTATTATTTACTAAAGTTAAGAAATGTAATGTGAGTATCATTTGCATTCTAAAAGGATTCTGTACCTTCGCATAAAATAAAAAAAATTGCTTTATATTAAAGTAAAATTATTTTCGACTCATTGTAACAGATATTTCAGAACCACGATAATTCACGAGGTCTATCTGATAAGATACACAGTTACAAATGGGGCCGCTAATCCTCGTTACAATCCCGTTCCCCAGTTCTGAACGTTTACTTGTCCGTACTGCAATATTAATCAAGTATTTCGTCTATAAATCAGGTAACATCGGGCTGTTAATTGCTTTGGAGGCGTGTCTGTAACGTTGTTTATTTTCATACATACATAGATATAATAAAACAGGAACAACAACGTTATATTAGATTATATAGATAGAGTGTCTGCATACAAATGCTTCGAGAAAAGTCGGTCAAGTTTCCCATACAATTTGCGTGATTAACAGTTATAGGTGACTCCTTTATAACTTCTATATTTATTTTGTTTTATAATTTTTGCATATTTATAATCCGTAAAAAACATTTTATTTATTCAATAATTAAATATAGATACGTCAAGATAAATTGTGTGCGTAAGTATATATATAGAACACCGATAAAAAACAAGTCGGCTAATTTGAAAATTAGCTGACAAAAACTTGACCCGGCTCAATGCTGTATCTATATAATCTAAGATACATAACTATGTATACTAATATATACGTATATGTATATATATATATATATATATATATATATATATATATATATATATATATATATATATATATTATATCTGCCCTTCATACGCTTTCTGTTTTTACCTAATGGTTAGCTGGTAGAGAATGCCATATGGCATTAAGCTCGCCATTTGTACATCATATTATAATATGAAATATTTATGAAGATACTTGTTATATAATAGATAATTCATTATATGATAGATAATTCATTATTACCATCATATCAACTGTTAACTGTCCACTGCTGGACATAGGCCTCCATCATAACGGGAGTTTTGTCATTAGTTGCCACGCTTGGCAACAGACTTGACAATCGCAGTTAGCCTTTGGTGATGCTTTAAGAAGTTCTTGGCCATTAAGTTCCCCTAGTCACCTCTTACGACATTTACGCGGCAGAAGTGGGTGGCACCAGATGGCAATCCAGGGCCTGTAGACAAGTGGCAAACGAATTCGTCGATGGAAACGACATCGCTAGCGAGTCCGTGAGTTGGAGTGAGTCAACGGCGTTGCTATCTTATTCGTTCTCACGGACTTGCTAGCGATGTCAATTCCGTCGACGAATTCGCTTGCCGTTTATCAAGAAGGCCCTGGTTTACTTTACATTAATTTTATTTTAGTAATTATTATTCTAGGGGGAATGATAGCCCCGCCGGCGCTATCGGTAGACACTGGCGGGGCACCAGTGAGGGATGATTGGTGAGGATGGACAACCCCTTAACTTCAGGAACGACGAACAATCCAATTCCTTTTCATTACTAACAATCCTTTTCCTCCAGATTATCCTAGTTGAGTACATGCTAAACACGAGAGATGATGGGGGGAAAGGGATTGTTAGTGATGGAGACTGACAATCCCATTGCTAGCAATATACCCAACCAGGTCGACCACCTCGCGGTTCCCCCTGGAAACTATCATGGTTGATTCCTGATGAATTCATCATGATGGGCTAACTGGCCTGTTTTAATTCTCATCTATCACTCTTCACTAGTGCTTCGCCAGCGTATCTCCTTAGCGCAGGCGGAGTTACCATTACATTTTCACCCATCAAAAAAAAAACACGAGAGATGCTCAATATAATACGCCGATATGGATGTATTGGTCCGCGAGAAGTTTGTTAAATTCGGCAGATTATATTGTCGAACAAACATTGTCATGATTCGTTTAAGGTAGGCTTTTTAAAAGTCCGTTAATTTCAAAGACGAGAAAAAAAAAATTGAATAATACGTACATCTTCTTACAATTTTTTTTTCTTTGAAATAAATGGAACCTTAAATCTAAATTTCTGAATTTACATTATTCGTTTAATGGATTTTATAAAATAAAAATACTTGATAAATAAAAGTTCTTTTTAGTTGTGCTATAATAATAATGAAGCGCGCAAAGCCGCGTGAATAAGTAGTGCTTCATAAAATATCGGCCATAAATATCTATTGCTTTGTTTTTGTTTTGTTTTCACAACAAACTATAAAACTTACAAGTCCGCAATGCTTCAGTTTGAAGTTATGTGAGATCTCAGGGTCTTGAATTTTAGGATTTTATTGAGTATATTTTATCATAACTTTGTAATGACAAAATGTGTGAAGTCAACCTTTGTAATATTACCATATGACTTTATTGTATTATATATACATTTTAGAAATAAATTTTATTCATTCATTTATTCATAAAGAATATGTGATTTTTTGTAGAGAGAACTATTGCTAAGTTTTATTTATATACTAATTAGTTTTATTTATTTCATTATCAGAGGGATGGGCAGCAACATCCTTCTTAAAACATGTCTAAAAGTCTATCTGCGGTTACTTACCCGTCTACCAAGCGTAGCAACTACTGGAAAAATTCCCCTTATAGGGAAGGCTTATGTCCAGCAGTGGATAGTTAATGGCTAAAATAATAACAACAATAGTTTTATTCCGCATCTAAACCCACGTGAATTAGTACATAAAGTATCCTATGTGCTGTGTTAGAATTTTATCTACCTGTATATTAAATATCAGTCATTTCAGATAGTATTTATATGAGTGAAACTGAAGGTAACGTACAATAAATAAATAATTTTATTGCTCAAAGTAGATACACGTATCATATAGATATGTTATTGAGATAAGCCAAGATATACAGCATTTCTTCCTTCTGGTATCTTATTTCTTCTCAATTTATGTATTCCTAGTACATTATAAGTGGCATAATGTATCACTCAGGTAACGCCAATAATCTGTTTAGAGGTAAAGAAGTTTATGTTATTCTTATTATATAAAGCAATATTTGTTGTGTTCAGAAATGCATTTGTCAACCAACAATAATGGCGGCTCGAATTGGTCGCCGCCATTTTTATTCTATAGTACAGTTAGCATCAAAATTCGATAAATACGTACAAATTTCTAAATTCTATTTTCCCAATAAAAAAAATTGTTAACGTCGAAATGTCCGTAATAAAATCAAATATAAAAATATATTTTAAAGTAATACTCCACCACTGAAATTAAATATATGTGTCAAATTAGGAGATTTTCATTCATTCTACTTATTAAGGTGCACGTGACACTCTTCGTGTTGCAGGCATTCCATAGGCTACAATGACAGTTTACGATCAGACTCCGTGGTATAAAAAAAATATTTAAAAATACCTTCCCAATACTATCAACATCATATCAGTCTTTAACTGTCCATTGCTAAACATAAGCCTCTCCTAGGGGCGGGGGGGGGGGAGGTTTGCTAGTAGATATTTTAAGATGAACGCTGCTACCCATCCCTCGCCCTCCCTTAGTCACCTCTTACGACATCCACGGGAAAGGCCACCCCTTGGCTTATTCAATGACGGGACCACACTTCTCTCATACAATATTGTCATACATGGGGGGAATAAATTGTTAGTAATCCGGTTTTACCAGCTCCATTACTAGCAATATATCCTATCAGGGCGACCTCCACACGGTTCTACCTGAAAACCATCGTGGTTTATTCTGGAGGAATTTATCACGATGGGCTATTTGACCTGCTTTCATTCTCACCTATTATCCCTCACTGGTGCCATGCCGGTGTATACCGATAGCGTAGGCGGGGTACTATTTCATTATCATCCCACAAAAAAAAATAGTATAATACGTAAATACAATCATACATACAATTACTAATCATACAGGGAAAGGTAAGGGTTTTCTTTATATATTTTTTTTTATATTATTTTAAAAATAAATTTAAATATAGTTGTAATGTTTCTAAAACGCGAAAATATTAGTAGTGAGTACTTACGATCACTTTGTTTACAGTTGTCGTACTCCATCTCGCATAAATTCCGGAACACTTTCTTTTCATTCTTATCGCTGATAGCACAGAGTGGATTTTCGCTTGAAATGTAAATTACTTTATTATTAAGTTTTCTTTCGAATATAAAAGTTGAGTGAATAGAATTTAAACGAGGGAGTTTCGCTTATACTTGAATGGGCCAGATATAGGCAATCTTAAATTAAGATGTTTTGTCCAATTTTGAAAAAAAAACGAAATGAAGTATTTAGACCTATATCGGCTATAACTCTTTATTTATTTTAATAAATAGTAAAAATATCCGTAACTGGCGAGCATGTACGAAAAGATTGATGAATATGGAGGAAGCGAAAGAGGTCTGTTTGAACCGAAATATTTATATTTTAGAAAAGGGATTGTTAGCAATATGCTCTATTAGGTCGACTTCCACGTGGTTCCTCGTGGAAACCATCGTGAACAATTCTTGTTGAATTCGTCACGATGGGCTAACTGATCTGCATCAGCCTCAACTATCATCTTTCACTAGTGTCCCGCCGGTGTATACCATGGTGGGGTTACCATTCCTTTATCACCCGTTAAAAAACAATGAAGAGCTTCAAGCTGAACTATTATATCATTAGTCATGAATATCTATTATGTATTGTTATTTATATATGTATTGTATGTGATTTATGTATGTATAACTTTTGTAAGTATATTATTCTATATGTTTGTTCATTTATCTTAAAATGTATTAAAGGTGTTATCCTCTCTATGTTTAGCGTAACGGTTGACTAACAGAGAATGTCATCAGGCGTTAAGTCTGCTCTGTACACATATTTTAATGTATGCAAAAGTTGTAAATAAATCGATGTATTTGACGTTTCCTTATTTCTGCCTGCCCTAAGAGACAGACGTGACAGATATGTATGTATGTAAACAGTATTCTCAGTGTATTCAGACGATTTGAATTTATTTATTTAAATATACAACACCAGCGGGTCTACCATGAAATGAAATTCCGAAATTTCGGACTCAATTTCATGTTTTTGTTTATACCAAAATCGGACTAATAAATTGAGTTTAATATTACATTCGTCATACATTCTATCATAAAAGTCCAAAGGAACAATATTTTAACATTTTTAATATTTCTAAACAGCATGTATTATGTAATTTTAATATCAAATTTGTTTTTCGTTTAGCTCCGAAATTTCGGAAAACATTTCGTGGTAGGCCCTCAGCTTCGTACCCGCTACTTTGTATGCGTAGATTTCTGATGTAGGAAAAATAGTAAAATCACTTCTGGATCACACTTTACTTTAAGTAAAACATACACCAGTTTTTAAATTAGACCTTCAGGAATATAAATGTGAAAACCGTATCCAATTTGATGTGGTAATTTTTACGTGATGCTGGAACAAACATACAGACAGAAATACAGATATTTTTTTTAATTCTATTACCCTTAATAAGACTCAAGCGTGGCAACTACTGGCAAAACTCTCCTTACGGCGGAGGCCTATGTTCATCAGTGTACAGTTAATGGCTGACATCATAATAACAACAATAAAGTAGAAATAAAATAAAATACAACATTATATTTACTTCATTTCATAATGATGATGATCATGTATTCAAAACATACCCGGCCATTGGAATACTTAAGCAATTTCTGAATTCCTGCTTCAGTTGTGCTGATACTAATATTTTATTGTAGATACAAGATGCAGTTACTGGATTAAAAGAGAAACAATTACTAATTTAAGTACAATTAATTTTGATATTATTGGACGTGATGGAATTTTCTTTTTTATGAAATGGTAACCCCACTTTATACTTAATTACTTAATATTACTATATATGGTATATTGGCAAAAATATTGGTAATGGACAAAGCATATTTGCTAGCAATGGTACTAACAATAAACTCTTAAAACTTAGCGATAAAAATGGTAACACCTCCTGCGCTATCAGTTTACGCTGGCGAGGTATCAGTGAGTTTTTTAATGAATGATAATGGAACGGCAACCCTGCCTGCGCCAACGGTATACGTTAGCAGGGCACCAGTGAGGGATGATAGGTGAGAATGAAAAGGCAGGTCAGTTAGCTCGATGTGATGGATACACCTAGATTTCAGCACGATGGCTTCCAGGGGGGGAACATGTAGAGCTCGATCTGACAGGGTATATTGCTATCAATGGGCACTGGTAGTCCGTATTACTAACAATCCCTCCCCCCTCCCCCGTAACAGTGAGAATTTATAAATAGATTTTATAAATATTTAGTAAATAGAGGTCAACTTGATAGGATATATTGCTAGCAATAGGGCTGTTACATCCTAATATATGTTAACAATCCCTTTTTCTCGGTACTGAGATATCGCCTCCAAATTTAGTTATATCAAGTGGTGGAAGGAATTGTTATTAAAGGGACTAGTATAACTTGCATAAATAGAGATAAACAAAGTATTACATGAGACTAAAAATAAATAACTATAAACGTAAATAAACAATACTCTTTGCCCTAATACAATTATAGTATAAATTGAATGCAAAATATTTAATGAGAAATTGTATTTAATTGTGCTATGAGAAATTAAAGGGTATTTTATTTTATTTTTATGCATCAGACGAAGTATTGATAAATTTACAACTTACCAAGAATAATAATATTGTACTTTATTATATGCACATTTGAATTAAATTTTCTATAGAATTTATTCATATTTTATATCAATTATTAATTCAATTACATACTCGTAAATAAGTGTATTTATTAACGAATTTTTATTTGAATACAATTAATATTATCGTATATTTTTAAATGACAATAAAAGAACTCATTTCAAAGTTTACGAACTGTTAAATTAAAATTGCGCCATTAACCCTTCGAATCGTCATCGAGAAAGAATTTAAGATGCGAACAATCGTAAAAATACACTTCGAAAATGCCAGATTTCCAAATGTTAAACAAAATTAATCCCTTCCCAAAAGTTTAATGGGAAAGAATTTAAAATTAGAATTTGTTATATTTTTAAATTTCTCTGATACCTAACCTGAAAATGTATTTTAAAAATAAAAATAAACAACTACATATTATAAGTTATGTACTAACAAACATACTTTAGAGAGTAGGCTATTAAAATTGTGTTATGCATAAGTTCCGGCTGTGAAATGAGCTCCTGCCGAGGCTTTTTCTAGAGACTACAGCATGGGGTTTTTCGAAACACATTTATTAAGGTTTCTTCAAGGTTAGCAACGTGTACTTGATATTTCTGGCGTTGTAGGCGTCCATGGGCTATAATGGCTGTTTACTATCAGACGAGTAATATGTTTGTCACTTTGGTATAAAAAAAATCACATCACAATAACTTTACAATTATCCAAACTATACTCTTTATTCGACTTGGTTATTTTTTGACTTGTCTCAATCTATTTATGGGTTTCTCATAATATTATTATCAAACTTTGGTATTTATGATTTAAATTGACAATGCTACAATTTATGGACGTCACTTTACTTCAAGAATTGTTGTTTATATTGCTTTTAATAGTACCCTATTTATTTCTTTCTTTAACGGGTTTTTTTTTATACAACTTAGAATGGCAAACAAGCTGACGGCCCACCTGATGGAAAGTGGTAACCGTCGCCTATAGACGTTGCCATTCCTGAGGACTCAGGTATTATTCCTCTGTACCCTGTAAATTCACGCCATATCCCACCCTTCAAACTGAAACACAGCCATGCAAACACAACTGCTTCACGGTTGAAACACGAATGGGACAAAGGTACCCAAGCAAACGATTTTTGTACAAAGTCTTCCTTAAGTTCGACACGTATATCAACAACTACTAATAAAAGAATGAATGCATATAGTAAATGAAATTAGTAATCGGATCAAATCGGTCTCAAATGATTTGAAAGTCATTCGAATTAATTCGAATAAATCGACGTCGAATAATTAGTATTCAAATTAGTGTAGTCGCGCAAAGCTACGTTAACCGAATCTTTCGAGGTCTTATTATTTTTTAACAGACTGCGACCCCCTTTAATAACAAACGCGACCCCTCGGTTAAGAAACGTTGGATTAGAAAAATAGTACCATGGACAACACAATGCACTATTATGTCCAAGCCCCTCATGAGTTGCTATTCCTAATATTACCATATTATCTTTATATTATCTGTGACATGACCAAGGTGAAACGCCTCTGTATTGTCCTTTTGACTTCAAGTAAAACTTAAAAAAAGAATAATTTGAAATTTTAATTCAAATGATCGTAATTCATGTATTATGTACATATACGACTACATAACTAGTTGTATCTCTCGGTTCTGCCCATGAATGTTTCGTGATATCGAATAACCTATAATATTTTTCAAGAATAGTGGAGCCTATCAGATACAAAAGTTTTATAAATTAGTGCATTTAAACTAACAAATACTTTGATTTTATTATATAGAGCTAGTTTAGTCGGATATGTGTATATTTGTAAAAGAGAATGGTATCCGATGGATAAACGACGAAGGGGATGGTAACATTGTTAATAATGCAACTTCAAAAGGGTTCGAGCCCTACCCTGTTCGATTTAAAACATATTAACTTACCTTAAAGGGTCGAAAACAGTATAATACTTGCGTAGTTAATTTGTTCTTGTAAATATTTAATTAAATTACAATAACCGTATCACCGCATTCAACAGTTAAGTATTTTAGAAAATATGAGCAAAAATGCCGCCATATACGAGTACAGATACAGTTTTGAAGAATTTTAGGAAATGTAATCGAAAATTTATTTTTTCTTTCATTACTCTCTTCAAAGTTTGTGTAGGATAGATTGTATCAAAGATAAGACCGCCTATTTTACTTTTGTTTTATATTTTTTTTCTTTAAATACAATATCAGTATTTGTGTTAATAAATAAATCCTTAAGCCGTGTGGTGTCATAGGAGGCGGCTAAAAAAACTTAATAGTTGAGCAGTGTCCCTTTTAAAACATCACTAGTCGTAATACGGTTGCCAATCCGACTGCCAAGCATAGCAACTACTGAAAAATTGTAAGCACAATGGAGATTGGGGAATATAGAATTTCTCATATAGTCATTCGTGTAATCTCGGCTTAGAATAGGCTACTCCATCCTTTCCTTTGAGTGGAGGAGAGGGCTTCTTAGTAATGGAAACGTTAATCCCAATTGCTAACAATATACTCTATCAGGTCGACCTCCACTCGGTTCCCCCTGGAAACCATAGCCATTAATTCTTGTTGATTTCGTCACAATGGATTAACTTACATCTTCCACTCACTGCTGACCCGCCAGTGTATACCGATAGCGCAGGCGGGGTTACCATTCCATTATTATACCATCCATTATGATGATGTGACTGAAGATGTGCCATAAAGATGAGGTGACTAGTTCAACTTAACGCAGCAGCGTTCCTCTTAAAACATCTCTAAGTCTTACTGTAGTTCCTTACCCACCTACCAGGCGTGGCAACTACTGGCAAAACTCTCCTTATAGGGAAGGCATATGTTCAGCAGTGAACAATTAACGGCTGAAATGTTGATGATAATATACAGACATAATTATAATATGACTAAAGACCTACCCTGGCCTCGTACGTGTAATTAAGAAAAATAATATGTAGTCTATGTTAATCGCTGATAATATAGTTTATTACAGGTGAAAAAAATTTTAAAATTAATTAAGTAGTTTTTGAGTTTATATATTACAAACAAATAAACACACACACATTCAAACAAACATGTAAATTTTAAGATTGTGTTTCAGAAAAATACATTTACTTATTTGTGGTAATATAAGTTATTTTGAATTTATTTTAAAAATTAACTACTAAACCGATTTTAATAAAATTTCTATGAAACTAATCTGCAAGTATATCCTTTAAGAAAAAAAAAGAGTTTTGAAATTGGTTCATAATTGACGGAGTTATGATGTAGCAAACATAACAAATACAGTTTTTTTTTATACAACTTAGAATGGCAAACAAGCTGACGGCTTACCTGATGGAAAGTGATAACCGTCGCCTATAGACATGAGCAGTACCATGGACATAACAGAGTATATTGTTTCGTCCATGATACCCCCTTGATGTTGAAATGAGTACCTCCTTATTTTTGAAGTCGGTTAAAAATATCAAACCTTATAATATCAGTGTAGATATTTAAGGCTGAAAGATAATATATTTTAGTTAGAAAAAATGTAAATTCCTTCCTAGATATTTTACCCTTTTTCATTGCTTACTTAATAAAATGTGTCATTAATCTGTATTAACATTTGAGGCATTTTCCAAAATATATAGGAATTTAATTACAGGGACATTCAGCATTCTTTCGGATTTAGGGCTAAATTTATCCAGGCTCTAGATATATATAAAAAATGGGAGGAATAATGAAATACCTAAGCAGTCGATTTAGTTAACGATTTATTTATAAAAAAACAAAGTCGTTTTTTTTTCTATAAAATATTGGTACCATACGTTCTGGGCTCAAAAACGTATAGTACAATATTAAGACCTACAATTATGCATAATTATATATTATAATATAATCTTACATCTATAGAAATTATTCAAACTTACGCATATATTACATTATTAACATGAAAAATTAACAAAGGAACTTTTTACACCGTATTAACAAAACTTTAGTCATTTCCAATTGACACTGTAAGTTCATATGTTTTGCATTTCAACACTGCTACTTTCCTGCTATTTAAAGCAAGTCTTTAGTCAGAAAATCTGGGAGCATTGGGATGTTTTCGTGTTTGCGGTCACTGTGTGTTCTAACTGCAGCGCCGTCAACTCTGTCTCCATCTTTCTGCTCTTAATCCTCATATTATTCTTCAGTTGTCCCTTCTTACGACAGCAGCATAGGATCTCTTCGAATTCCTTTCTAAAGTTATCATTCAACCATCCATATAGTAGAGGGTTGGACACTGCACTCGACATACCGAACATATGGCATATTGCGTACGTTATTGTCATTGGTTTCTCGTCCAAAATGGGTTCCGGGCTGAAATCTGCTACTAAATTAAACACATTCAACGGCAACCAACTAATAACGTATGTGACCGCTATTGCTATCAAGATTGCCGGAGTTTTTCTAGTCGTCCGTCTTCTCCCACGCAACCTCCGATGAATCTGCACGTGCGCAATTACTACCACTAATACGGGGAGTAAGTATTGAAAGATCAAACTGAATACAGAGTAGATAGCTCTTCCGTTGTCTATCGGCCAGTCTTCTATGCAAAAACTTATGGAATCCATTCCTATGAAGCCTAGTTTGTGAGTCTTTAGGCTTCTAAATATGAAGAGGGGTGATGCAAGTGTAAAGGCTGTTAACCAAATGAAGAACATTGTAATTAATGCACCCATGGTTTGGAGTCCTGGTCGCGTTGGATAGACGATAAGCTGTGAACAAAATAAAATTAACACTATTAAAACAATTGACATGATAAAATTTCAATTATTAATTCTAACTAAATATATATTAATACAATCAAATTGTAACTGGACATTATCTGTACATGGAAGATATTTAAGAAAAAATGATATAAGGGTTCTTAATAAGAGTAATAAAAGCCAATATCTTACATGGGGAACTGTATACGTTTTTATAATAAACTTCCAGATGACGTTTTACATTTAAATGAAAGAAAATTTAAAACATATATAAAAAGGACTCTCTGTACAAAAGCATATTATAAATTAAATGACTATTTAAATGACAAAACTGCATGGATTTGAATTTTGTATTATTGTGAATTGTATTGTAAATGTAATTATTGTATTTTTTCTTAAATCAATATTATTTTCTATAGTAATTATTATAATTATAGATTGACGTATCATAAGTATCTGTAACAGATGTATATGAATAAAGATGATTGATTGATTGAATAAAATTATATTTAAAATTTTTGTCAGTCTGTCTATCCATCCATACTCTTTGTAAGTTTATGCCGATATCACGCAAAAACTATTGCACCTAATTAGATGTGGTCTAAATTGAAATTTAATGTACGTTTTATCTTAATATGCCATCTAGAAATCATCTTTTTTCATTATTTTTCCTACTTCTAAAATTGATGAATTATTTATTTCTAAGGTTACAAATGTTATAAATTTACTTATTATAAACCTAGTATTATATTGATTTTCCGAGAATTCCATTATTTATCAGTTTATCATTGGACAGTTCTGTGTAATGAATAAATACCAGAGCACTACACAATTGATAACACCACTTAATAAAGACGATAACAATAGACTATAAAACATACAAAAATGCAATATCTAGCTCGAACGTGACATATTTAAAGCATGCCTGCTGATTGTTTTGATAATTTGAGTAATTTCCTGTTACGCGGAGTGCTTTTGGAATTTTAGTAGGGGCTTTTCAGATCAATGGGTACATGAAAATAATATTCTCATTTCTATAAGAGCAGCGTTTCTAAAGCTTCTGCGCTATGTACTTGTAAAACTTTTTTATTGAACTGTTATTTTGCAGAAGTCCATATCTCTGATTAGTTGATTAGATTAATTTTTTGTATATCCGTTACAGTTAGTATACGTGCGACTGTTATTATTTGGGGACTGATTACTATCAGTAGAAGATATACAACCTTCAATATTATTAAATATGAGTTGTATATAGAAATAAAAGTGTTTTCTATTAAAGTCCGCTTAATTATAAGCATTTCTGAATAGTATTTTTTTTTGTCAATCTACTGTCAGGATTGGAACGCAATTTCAGCTGAGAAGATGAGCAAGGAACTCATTATTATGTCAATCATTCAAATCATAATAATAAAGATCATTATCATATCAATGACTACTAATGTTGAGTTTTCGCAGAATGGAATTAGAATGACCTCTTTTCTCAAAAGAGGCGTTGAGGGATGGGCAGTAACGTCTCTTTAGAAACATTACCAAAAATCAAACTGCAGCTGCCAATCCGTTTGTCAAAGATGATTCTGAACAACTGAGAAAATCTTTTTAATGGTAAAAACGCTCCTATTCCTTATGGCAATCTATGGGGATGCCTATATTCAGCAGTCGACAGATAATGATTAAAATGATAATGATGATGATGACTGAGTTTTCTTGGATTAAAATACAACTAACATTTAGGTGTAGGTTGTAGGTGACCAAAATTTATAATAAAAAAATACTCCTGATAAAATATAATGGGACCAACATTGTTAAAGATGAAATAACATTGATTACTGATGACATTTTTGACCGATCTATCAAAAGGCATTTGAGGTGAGTAAAAATCAATAAATTTGTTTCTATATATCTAATTACGATATCTGCTGAAATTGTATCAGAATAAATTATGTCTAGAATTAAATTAAAGAGATATACAAAAACTGTTTAGTCTTAAGTACATTATATCAGCTTGAGAGACAGTGGATTTTTTTTGGAGGATGCTTAACAGGCTTGTATTAGATATTTTATTGATCTAGGTATTATCTTGTGGAAGTCCGTAACACTTGTTACTTGTTTATAATTATTACCATTATTACTAACAGTACTTCCACAACCTTTTATAATAGCCATTAATTTCTGACTCCCATTTGGTTCATGCACGTTTTGCGACACGTGTTTCACCTCTAGACGAGGTATCTTCAGGCAAATTATTATATCGCTGCTCGAAGCCTAGTGTTAACCGTTCGGCATCTTTCATTACCTTTTTTAAAATTGTATTAAATAGATTGAGTGACATAATTTTTTATCTACGATAGTTTCTACTTTATATATAGGATGTATGGTTTACATTGTATTAAGGGCAGCGGAATCTGACGTAAAAATTTTCAAGATTTTTGTTGTACACCGAGGCAGTATCTAATTACTATCTTGGTGTACAACTATGATTTCTAAAACCATTCATTACCAATTATATTGGTTAATTTGAAAAACATTTTTTGTCCGCAACTTTGTCTAGATTTCAGATGTAGGAAAACCAATAAAATAAATCACTTATAGATGATGCTTTAAAATAAAACATACACCAGATTTTAAGTCAAATATTCCGAAATACAACTGTAAAAACTAAATCTAATTTGGTGCAGTAGTTTTTGCGTGATGCCGGAACAAACATATAAATAGACAGACAGAAAAAATAATTATTATCGTTTTGGAATCTATTAGTTTTATAAAGATCTCTCCTATTACTTTTTCTTAAATATTTTCATCGTCTAGTTACAGTTTAATTATATTAGTAAAATATACTCATAACATTTTATTCTATTATAGAAAATATCAAATTGAATAAACATATACCAAAAGCATCATGGTGGCAAATCCTATAAACCCTCTACTGTGTAAACATATGTACGATTATATACTGCAAAACGTAATTTGCTAACTGAATTATTAGTTTCTAAAATTCCATTAGGTACATTTCGAACATATTTGTTTATAAAATAACGCGAGAGCAGATGTACGGACAAATCTAATTACAGACATATTGAGACTTTAATAGTGTGTGTAAATAGTGTTTATTTGGACTGAGATGTTAACAAGATCCGGGAAAATGGTGTCTGGAAAATAAATTGTTCCTTCACATTATAACAGTTGAAACTGTAAAGATATTAATAGACGATTAAAGTTACAAGCGCCTAATTTAACTCTTTTGATTGTATTCGGATAGCAGATATTGTCGATGACTTTGTACAATAGACGTGTGCTTGTGAAGGTTCCTCTGATCCGTTGTGTTTTGGCTACGTAATATTTTTAACTTTATTGATTACTTTGACCAAGAATAGACTTGAAATATGTCGTCAGGAACTGTTAAAAGGCTTGGACTCGGCTAAATTAATTATGGTTAACTATGTATATATACATCTGTGTATGCTGGTTTCAGCTGCATTTTGGCTCCTTTATTTTGAATTAACGTATCATTTTCTCGTATAAATTGTACTATGCTTTTATGCAAACAAATCCTAATAACAAATTTGAATATAGGAATTTATGTTGCTGTATATATTTCAACATTATAAAGCGTTGGGTAATTAAAAATTAAATACTAATTAACATCAGAATCATAAATTGTAATTCCATAAAAACAATATTAACTTAAATTTCAATTAATATTTTATATGATACCTGAGAATGGCAAGCGTTATATACTTGTAACATATTAGCGTTTTTATATGCAATAGAAAATTACAAACAAGTTCACAGTCTACCTGATGGAATAAAGTAACAGTTGCCTATAGACATGAATTGAACCATAGAATTTTACTATGATACCCATCAAAACCCTCATGTTTTGTCATTTCTTAGGATTGTGGTGTTATTCCTTGTAACATACTGTATCTGTATACTAGCCGTGAATAGTCCACTACAAAACATAGGCCTCCCCTTATTGAGGATTTTGCGCGTAATTACCATGTTTGGCAGGCGAGTTAGAAACCGCAGCTAGATTTTAAAAGGGACGCTGATGTTCATCTCTCGATCATATAAATTCTGTGTTAGTCGCTTCTTAAAACTTGCACAGGAAAGAAAGAGGAAGCCCATTCTATACCGAAACCATAGCATCGCACTCTTACCACACCCATAGGAAAGAAAGTGGTGGCCCATTCTCTGCTAGAACTACATGGCGACCGCATACTCTGCATCCTATCCTTTAAACCAAAACACACCCATGTAAGCATAGATAACTTAAAATCAAAATAATTACCTGATATCTATCCAAGGCAATGGCAGTGATGGATATCGTTGAGACGAATATTGATATGGCTTGAATAGCTCCGCAAGCTTTACACAAGCTTGGCCAGTCTGGCAAAGGCCAATGTTTGGTCAAAAGTTCCATAAGCGTGAGAGGGGTACCAACACAGCAAACCAATGCATCAGAGACAGCGAGGTTGACTATAAACATGTTCCTTGCTGTTCTCATCACTGGCTTCCTTACTACCTGCAAGGATATACACAAAATAATGTAATTACAAATTATATTTTAGAAACAGCTTTAATTTTTTAGTGTTGGAGGGGTGGGAGATGTTATCCTATTCTTACTATGCTGGCTATCCGGCTTGGTACATTATTTTCTTAAGAGATTTTATTATGATATCCATTTGTTTAATTTTGTGATACTAAATCATAAAGATCTGTTAATAGCTGACTTTTGGTGAAAATAACATACAAATAATCGAAAAAGCTGACCTCAGTAACAGACGAAATTTCAGTATATGATAACGTACACTTAATCATAAAGTTTTAAATAGATTTTTTGGTACTTCAATGTAAATATAAACGTTTGAAAATTAATTAACTAGTACACCATGTTAATAATATACTAGCTATATCCAGCAGCTTCCTCCTCAATCTTACCCAAGAAGTGTGCTGTCAAATGTATAAAGAAATTTTCTAATCTGGTTGGTAGTTCCAGAGATTCAAACAAACAAACTCTTCTATTTTATTATTCCAAAAATAATACTTACCGATATAACAACAAGAGCATTTCCCACAGCACCGATAACTACCAGGATACCATAAAACGTAAGCAAGAGTGCTCTAGTCGGGTCATCGACTTTCCTGTTCTGGGAGAATTTTTCAAGAAGAACATTAGGTTGTTGGATGCCTTTAGACGCTTCTATGATCCATTTTGCAGAAACATTCAGTGTTAAATTCACGCTGGGATCCAGCATCTAGAACAATGAAAAATAAACTACGTTAATGGGTGATCATGCTATTAAATACATCTTAAGTAAAAGTTAACAATTTTGTAAATTACAGACTAGATTTATGTTTTTTTTTATACAACTTAGAATGGCAAACAAGCTGACGGCCCACCTGATTGAAAGTGGTAACCGTCGCCTATAGACATGAGCAGTACCATGGACTTAAATAGAGTGTACTGTTTCGCCCATGATACCCCTCATGCGTTGCCATTCCTGAGGACTCAGGTGTTATACCTCTGTACCCTGTAAATTCACGCCATATCCCACACTTCAAACCGAAACACAGCCATGCAAATACAACTGCTCTACGGTTGAAACACGAATGGGACAGAGGAACCCAAGCAAATGACTTTTGTACAAAGTCTCCCTCTGGTGAAGAAAAAGTTAATAAATTTATTGTACAAATTACATGACAAATATTGTATAAATATTTTGCTCCACGAAAGAAACACCGAAAACAAAACTTAATTAAGCATAATTATTACCATAAACCAGTTATTTTGATTTAGAACCTATATATAAACTGTTGGCATTCAAGATAAAGTCTGAATAGATTTCGTATACAAGGAGATTTTCATATAAAAACTAGTCTTATTAAAAAAGTTTAAAAAATCTATATTAAACACTTGAAAAGTTAGCCCGTAGCTTCAGTTGAAAGAGTCAGGATAATTCATTTTCAAGACAGATAGTAGGTATCCATTACAACTTTTTTAAATTGACTTCAACTCTTTTAATTCTCAGGTAAAGTAAAAGTAACATTTTGTTTTAAATTTAAATAAGTAGTGACTGCAATCTTTTTAGAATTAATAATAATAATAATAAAAAATACAAATTATCAAAAACAGAACTGGTGATGATATCGGATAATATATAAAAAATATAACATATTGTTCTACAAAAATGCAGTTATTTTTATTTAAAAATTAGACTACTAAACCGTTTTTGATAAAAAAAAATCAAATTGGTTTATAAGTGACGAAGTCATAAAGTAACAAATAAAAAAAAATACAATCGAATTGAGTACATCCTTCTTTTTGAAGTCGATTGAACAAAATCTAATCTTGTCAAGGCAATTTCAACAGTATTTCCGTTAGGATACCTGATTGAATCCTTATAATTTTTTTTTTTTTTTTATAAGTATTCTTTTACTTGTCTGTTTATTTTTCTACTTCTAAATTAGGGTTACAACTTTAGTGAGTTTCAGATTTGGAAACAATAGGGTCGATCTCGAGGGGCCATTTCTCTAAACTTGTCTCTTAATCTAATATATTAATTTGATAGTTTCGCAACATTACTGTTTTATGAGCTATCATGACCAAACTTTATAATAATTTCGACATTAGAAATTTAGTTAATGTCAGATTTCGTTGTAATATTAAATTGAATTTTAGAGAAATTTAAAATGGTTTTGAATAAATTTGTTACAATCTACGATTATATATATTTTTTTTATTGGATGATAATGGAATGGCAGCCCCACCCGCGCTTCCGGTATACACTGGCGGGGCACCAGTGAAGGATGATAGGTGAGGATGAAGTAGGTCAGTTAGCCCATCGTGACGAATTCAACAAGAATTGTTCACGATGGTTTCTAGGGGGAACCACGTGGAGGTCGACCTAATAGGGCATATTGCTAGCAATGGGGCATTCAAACTCCATTGCTAACAATCCCTTTCCGATTATATTCTACGATTATATTATAGTACTGGACTAGAAAAAAATGTATTTCAATATATATATAATATGTCCTTTATAACTTGTAAACATAATTATCTTTTATAATAATAATATGAGATATTAATATTATTGTACCTATTCAATTGATATTAATTATTCCAATATAATATTGTAATATTAATACAGTATTGGTTCATTAACAATACTCAATATAATGTAACCAATTTAAGATAATATATGTATCATACATAATAGAAATGAAATAATAATCTTGATATAATAATCAATTGACTGGTATATTGAATATTGTATGTGTTGTTATTGTTAAAATGTTTATGAATATATTGAAACAACATAATAAAGTCAAGTAAATAAAAGTAGTTTTATGAACTAAACATTTACATGCCTATGTATGGCTACTAGTATAGTATTACCTGTGATATGGCGAAATATGTAGGTACTTATGCTTTGTATATAAAACATCTTGTATCTCAAGTTTCAAGTAAATAATAAATAAGTCCAACGCGTGTTTTTACTTCACTCGTTTTGTGTTAGAAATTATTTATTGATATACCCAATAGGTCACAGGAACGAAATTGTGGATATAAACAAATTAATAAAATAATTTCCTATTCAGATATTAAGATTTATTAATCACATATCTCACGTAATTATCGTATTTTTTCTGATATTTTACATATTAGCATATTGTAAAAGAGTTCCTTACAATGGATATTAGTACAAGTCACGTTCCCAACTTTACGATTTTATTAAGAGGGACCACTATATACCCAAATTGGTGAGTTAGTAAATTTAATTAATACAACGAGTTCGTGGGAATGAGTGGGTGCGAGGATGAAATCTGTGCTCTGAATACCTACCTTTCTGAAGGATAACGGGACTCATATACGCAGCCATTGCGAAAATGTTAATTTCATTCCACTTGCGAATACTTCTAAGTCTGAACTTTATTACCTACAGTTGTCTACATTACCTTTTTATAGAGATGCCTTTATTTGAATCTTTAAACATGTATTTTATGGGAGGAAGGGATTGTTAGTAATGCGGACTGCCAGTCCCATTGCTAGCAATACATTCTGTTAGGTCAATCTTCACGTGGTCCCCCTGGAAACCATCGTGTTGAATTCCAGGTGTATTCATTACGATAGGATAACTGACCTGCCTTTTAATTCTCATCTGTCATCCCTCGCTGGTGCCCGTCAGTGTATACCATTAGGTATGGTAAACCTGCCTGTGGGGATACCATTCTATTATCATCTATTAAAAAAAAATGTACTTTATGAGTTTATATAGTACATATGAACCTTCACTGAAAAAGCTAAATATTAATAAATAATAAAGTTTAAAAATCACATTTCAAAAGGGTAAACATTATATTTCTCTTAAAGCTCAAGCAGAGCAGTATCTCTATTTAACAACAGATGGCGTAATAAATCTGTTTCTAAACATGTAGGTATGGAATATAAAAATAATAGAGGTAGGTAGTATACGTGGGTATAGTTGGTGTCGTCTAATGGATGCTAATGGAATTTTTTTTTTTTTTTTTTTTTTTTTTTTTTTTTTTTTTATACAACTTAGAATGGCAAACAAGCTGACGGCCCACCTGATGGAAAGTGGTGACCGTCGCCTATAGACATGAGCAGTACCATGGACATAACAGAGTATACTGTTTCGCCCATGATACCCCCCATGCGCTGCCATTCCTGAGGACTCAGGTGTTATTCCTCTGTACCCAGTAAATTCACGCCATATCCCACTCTTCAAACCGAAACACAGCCATGCAAACACAACTGCTTCACGGTTGAAACACGAATGGGACAGAGGTACCCAAGCAATCGACTTTTGTACAAAGTCTCCCTCTGGTGACCCCGCCTGCATTATCGGTATATGTTTGTAGGGCGTCGATGAGGAATTTATAGGTCAGGATAAACGCTGGTCAGTTGGTTTGATTATGACGCATTATTAAAATTAATTACAATGGTTTCTGGAAGGAACCTCATGGAGGTCGACCTGGCAAGACAAATTGCTAGCAATAGGGCCGTTACCCCCCCTCCCAGTGGAACTAGTGAAGATTACTGTACTAAATCATCTTAATTAAATATTTCATTATAAACTGTCGCTTGCAAATTAGTTTCGAAATGCAGAGAAATTCATTTTAAAATTCTTACAGAGATTGAAAGTTACGGTGTAATTTTAAACGAATAGTTTTAAGTTCTTTCATTTACTACGCAGTAAAATTTAATAGAAAGTAGTTACTGTAAATACTATAAAACAAAGTCGTTATCTGCATTCATCTATTTATTTTACCTTTTCTGTAGCTCCGGAACGGATTTTGATACTTATTTATAATACTGTCTCTATTTCACGGCTTCGCCTACGTGATTTAGTATGTAATGTATACTGTGACCTAAGTTAGGATACAACCTATCCGTGTTCAAAAATTTCAATTAAATCCTTTTTTTGAGAAAGTAACTAACATCGAATAACCGTATAGGTCCCGGCATAGAATAGGCCTCCCTTTTCCGTGGGTGTCGTAAGAACTACGGAACTAAGGGAGCTTATGGTGGAGGAATGGGCAGCAGCGACCCTTTTAAAACGTCACCAAAAGCCAAACTGCGGTTGCCAACCCGTTTGCCAAACTTGGCAACTACTGAATAAACCCCCTTATGGGAAAAGCTATGTTCAGCAGTAGACAGTTAACAGTTGATACAATACAATACCACTAACATCCAAGCAGCTTCAGATTTTTTTGTATTTATATTAGTCCATCTATTTTTTATAGAAGGATTTGCTTTTATATATATTCCATTATAATAAAATTTTTGTATAAGTAGGTAAATTTAATATTTTGTAATAAATTGTAATCGTTTGTTAAAAGGATACTTAAAATTTCGATTTTATCCTCTATTGTTCTTATTGTTATTCTCAATCGCTGTTAAATTATACAATTAATTTAATACAAATCAGATATTTGACTTGCAATTTAGAATACAAAACAATCTATAACGAATACTTGATCTTCAGCAAGAATGTATAATTAAACAGTACTTTGCATTTTAATAATTACTCATCTAGATCTTTTATGGGAATGGGCATTAAATGTTTTAATAAGATACCGAAGGATATTTTGAAACTACCTTTTAACAAGTTTAAAACTATTATAAAAACACTTTACTTAATTACTTGAATGACAAATGGGCATAGTCATTAATCGATCATGCACGGTCTTTTAATGGTCATGTAATTTTTAACATAGTACGTTTAAATAA